GTTGGCGCTATGACAAGAGTGCCAACAACTTCACCATCCGTCGATTTTGCCTGACGTCACATCCGATTTTTGATCCGATAGATGCTGCAGTGAGTATAGTCCATCGATGCCACCTTTTGAAGGTTCCGTCTGTTGAACCAATGGGGGTATTCAGTACTAATGGCAGCACCTACCGATTTGTTCAAAAAGTGATGCAGCATTCAGTGGATCTGGCCTACCCAGATAAAAATCACTACATGCAACGCAACAAACATCTCATCCAGCCTCATTCCAACCGAATCACTGCCGCAGTTTGCCTTCAACGTGGTGGAGCCAGTAATGACGACATTGCGTTTAAATTGCGCTGGAGTCCGACATCTGTGCCCACATACTTGCGTGACTGCTTCCAAGGCGTCGGTGATCTGTTGCAGAAGGCCATTACTGGAGTGATGAAGATGTCTTTTTCATAGGTCTCGTTTTTCTTCCTTCTTCGTGTTCTTTGCGTTCTTTTTGTTTGTCTCTTGGAGTGCTCAAAGTGGCTTGTGGTGTTGGGTTGGTCACTCCTAGATCAACCTTGTGGTAGGAAAGCAGATCTCAGTAATACCGCACACGGGATTTCTGAGATTGGTCGAACGAATCGAGTCTATTACTCGATCAGTTCGACCCGCTTCACACCACAACCCACCAGCTACACACGAAGACAAAATACTACGAACACACACACGGAGGACGGCAGTAGGCTATCTTAGATAGATATATATATATTGAATATAATATAACATATATAATACGTGTACGTACACGTAGATGTGTATAGCACACAAGAGTCACGGTACTAAGGCTCTAAGAGCGTGAGTCCATGCCGTAACCTGTCTCTTGATGATTACACATTTGCCATACGAGGCTGGCGACTGGTGCCATCCTCACTCGTGGTTGTTGTTGTAGTCTTCTTACCGCTTCTTGTTGACTTCTTCTTCTTCTTGGTGTTCACGCCACGACCGGGAACAACAATATCCTTTTCCTGGACACAGGCCATGACAAACTTGTCGACAAGAGTATCTACCTGGGAATAGAATAGATTTTCAGCTCGCCCGAACAAGGTACTACTTTTTCTGCTTGACGGAAGATCCTTCTCTTGGATATTGTTAGTAGAAGAGTCAAAGGTATCGTCAAAGTAGGATCGTTTCCGGTTGGCATTGGAATCTTGGCTATAGAATGTTTCAAAGGACTCCTCCGGGTCCACGTGAGGATTCGTCTTGTTGGGATCAAAGGCAATTTGCGAAACAAGAAAGGAACTGGATAGGTTAGACGTATTGCAAGTTTTGGGGGTATCCACTTCGTTTTCCGCTCCCATGGAAGGAATCAAGTGCCCAAAGTAAATAGCATTGTCGTCCCCAAATAACTTTTTCTGAGGCGGAGTGTCGTATTGAAATGGTGCTTCGGACAAGAATTCTTGCCTATCTGGAGTATCGAAAAGATCCTTTTCATTCACATACTCTGCCGTGTTCTTACTGTTTTCTTGTTGTTCTGGTGATAGAATCGTCACACAATCGGCATCTTTTCGAAGAATCTTGGGTGGTGTCGTAATAATAAGACATGTCTGCTTCCTTGGCCGTCCGCCTTGATGATTACGCTTTTCACTAATTGCTAAAGGTGATTCCTCGCTGTCGTTCTTCATTGGAATTGGAGATAGGGGCATGCCAAAATTTGACAAAACTGCGGATGTGTTGTTGTTGCCAAGTTGCTGCTGCTGCTGTTGTTGTTGTTGTTGTTGTTGTTCCTTGAAGATCTTTCGTTTCTCTTCAAAATCTTTTGCCATTTGACGGACGCTGGGAAGAGACATGTTACTGCTCTGTTCTGTCGGTGATGTATCAGTTGATATGTTCACAGCGGACAGATCTAATGCCTTTTCGAAGGATGCATTCAATGTGCGACTGCAAGAAGCCAGAGTTTCTTCGTTCACTTTTCCATATTGCTGGTTTCGTTGTTGTTGTTGTTGTTGTCCGAGCACTGTCATCATGGGATGATTCGTGGTCGAAGCCACCATTGCTTCGTTATTGCTCATCCTTGTACTGGTGATTTATAGTATTGTAGTCACCCAAGATGATGATGATGATGATGATGATGATGATCAAGGTTGACAAAAAAAACGTGATTGCAGAAGTGGATGCAAATTGTGATGAGAATCAAATTTCAAAATCTTTTATTGGATTCAAACACATATGGAAAACCTTTTTGAATCCACGACCCGAGCGCGCAATCCTTTTGAGTTGACGACTCACATGACTAAATATCGATGTGCGGTGTACAGACGTCGAAGAAAAAAGATAGACGTTGAGAGGGAAATTATGTTCACAACCAGGAAAAGTAAACAATGTGACCATGTACACTTATTCAACGGAAAAAATTGGACATTACCCGCCAACCTGCAGGCTCATTCGTCACGCCTTCGGGCCAATTTTCACGGCCACAACGTCGTGTCTCATTACAGTATGATTCTCAATTCATTCTCATCAAAAGATTTTAAACAGGGCGATGTATCGAACCATCCGAAAACGAATCCAGCCCATTGCAAGTAATAATAATAATAATAATGATAATCATAATGACACTCAAGATGACAACGATGACACCGATGTTCCCTTTGATGAGAGAATAAACCAAAAAGTAGTCAAGAAGGAACCAGAAATGAAATCGGAATCCTTGTGTCGGCCACGGTCGATTGATTTGTTGGCCTTACGACAACGACAAAAGCAGAAGCAGAAGCAAAGGGAAGGAGTGGCCATTGCGAGGGCTTCGACTTATAATGCAGAATCGACGTATTCTCCAAGAAGAACACGAGCGGGCCTCATTTCTCGAACGGCAGCGGCGAGCAATCGAGACCAGACGACTCCGGACCTTGTCCCACCAGAGACAGCGACAACAACAACAACGACGACATTGAAAACAACAGTCATCTATACTCCACTTCCAACAAGGTCCGAAACACCCAAGAACAAACCAGATTCTACCGCACAAGATGATGCTTCCAATGTGGTGCAAGAGAACAATGATGATTCTTCTTCTTCCTCTTTTTGCAGTAACTATACCTCGGACGATGATGACTATACTTCCTCCTTTGGGTCGGGCGTCTCGTCACTGTCTGGTGTCTTTGCGGACCTGCAAAGTTCGAATTATGATGATGATACTACCAAGTTGTTGGAGGATGCCTCGCACTTGCAGCAAGAAGGAGAAACCACGTTGGGGGATAATACGACGCAACATGATTCCATGGAAACCGATGTGTCGGATGACGAGGATGACAATTGTGATATTCATGATGAGGAATACACAAGCTTTCGAAGGAACAACAATAATGCAAATTGTCGAATGATGTGTTTTGTGGATGACGCCTCGGACAGCGTTGGTTTGGAAGACTTTCTCGACACGGATACAAATCGCCACAGAGAAAAACAACAACGACACAAAAGTCATTGGAAAAAGAAGCAAGTGACGCTGGAACCCGAGAAACCAAAATCATCTCTTTCCTATGTTTGCGAATCATTGGATTGCCTTGGACTATGGAAAGGTTTGTGCTGGGGGAACGAAGATGCTACCGTTGGACTCACTGCTGAGGTCGAGGGTTAAAGATACTACCGGTATCATTGATTCAAAAATTAATTTGGTGTATTTATTGCCAAAAGACTACGGCAAATGTTGTAACTATAATAGCCATAGATCATACTACAAAGAGAGAATTAAATGTACTGGTACCGTACTGTAGACGCCTCGCTCATATTAGAACGACGGCCGATACGAAGTCATTATTGTCCTCCAAGTTGGTACAGTACCGGTAGGAGTTGCCAAAAGGTTGAAAGTTTTGACCGCGCAAGGTCCGCATGCGCATTGTCCGCGCAAACTATCAGCTCCAACCTTCTTTCCAAAATGTGCACGTATTTTTTATACTATACAGTAATATTTGTTATTGATTTTATTTTATTTTATTTGATAAAACAGTGGTAAACAAGGCAGACAATAATCCATCAACATGAAGGGCATTGAGGAAACACTTGCCAAACTGCTAGTAGTAGTATTACTCTCAGTGTCGGTAGCTCCCGCTGCCGGCCGCCATCATCATCGAGGTACCAAAAAGAGAAGGATGCAAAAGATGCTAAAAATGAAAAAGGATACAAGCGTCACTACTAGCCGAAAAGGTACAAAGCTAACTGCCAGTTCGGTCAAAGGTGCCATGGGAGGCACAATAGTCGTAGGTTCCAAGGGAGTTGGTGGCCAAGGAGGTTCCAAAGTAGGCTTTAACGCTCCCTTTCCAGCACCTGTAGTGCTATTGCCATTGATACCGACGTTGGCTCCTTCGATGGAGGAACCTAGCAGACAACCCGTTACCAGAATTCCAACAAGGACTCCCCGAGCTGGTGGCGGTGGCGGCGGTGCTGTTGCTGCTCCAACCGTATGCTTGTCAACCCCTTGCCAAACAACAGCGCCTCCAGCCGTGCCCTGCGGTGTCGGTGGAGTTGCTTTCTTTTCATCCATTGCCACAAGAACTCTTACTGCAGCAGGCCAGACATTGTCTTTTGACTTTACCGGGCTCCCCGCTCCCATCGCTGGAACCACTGTCTTTATTACAGCGTCTTACACAGGCGATATCGTAAATGCTAACCAGTGTATGGAGATACAAGGTGAAGACGGTCCTACATCTTCTGGATTTTGCAAGATTACATCTACCACAACAACAACTACTTCTATTGGTTACACAACAGCCACCGCAGCCGAGTTCAACGCTTGGAACGCGGATGGAACAGTGACGATTCAACAGGATGCAAGCAGTTTTGTAACTGCGGTCGGCACGGATGTCGCAAGCGTCCAAATGCAATACTGTACCCTTCTAACTTGCGGCACTCCTGGTGTTGCAGCAATCTGTCCAAATCAACCAGCTACACCGGTGGACTGTACTGCCTTTCCTGGTACAGCTTCCGTGGCGACTACGGCCCAAACCACTAAATTAACTTCTACTGGCCAGCCTCTCGCGCTATCATTTGCCGGTTTGGCCGACTCTTTGTCTCCTGTCAATATCCTTGCATCATTTGATGGTGACATTGATAGTGGGGCAAGAAGGAATGAATGTATGGATATTTTGAGTGAAGGTGGTGTCTTTTCTGGATCTTGTTACTTTGACGACAGAACGTATGGTGCCGGCGGCATAGCTCAAGTTGTAACACAAGCAACAGCAGCAGAGTTCAACGCATGGAATGTGGATGGAACTGTGACGCTTACTATGGATGCCGACAGTGATGTCAACCGTGGTGGCGCTGGAGGCTCGGAAGATGCAACATTCCAATTGCAATATTGTGCAGTACCACCATGTGGCGTTGCTGGTGTCTCTAACACTTGTCCAAATCAACCAGCGACTGTAGTGGACTGTGCTAGCTTTCCAGGCACAACTTCAGTGACGTCTCCAATTCTCAGTACTACTTTGACTTCCACTGGCCAGGCACTCTCATTTTCATTCACTGGGCTTCCCAATTCTGCATCTCCCGTCAATATCATTGCATCCTTCGATGGTGACACGGATAATGGTGCTGGTGTCAACGAATGCGTGGATATCGTGGGTGAAGGCGGCGGTGTCTTTTCTGGATCTTGTTACTTTGACGATAACACGTCTGGTGCTGGCGGCGGCATACCGCAAGTTGTAACACAAGCGACGGCATCAGAGTTCAACTCTTGGAATGTGGATGGAACAGTGACGCTTACATTGGATGCAGATAGTGGTGTTGTTCCCGGAGGTGCTGCTGGCTCAGACGATGGAACCGTCCAATTGCAATATTGCGCCTTACCACCATGTCAAGTTACTGGTGTCCTAGCCATTTGTCCAAATCAGCCAGCGCCCCCAGTGGACTGTACTGCCTTTGTTGGTTCAGTTTCAGTGACTAGGATTCAAAGCACTATTTTGACTACCAGAGGGCAGGCTCTTTCGTTATCATTTGCTGGATTGCCCGACTCTGTGTCTCCCGTCAATGTCATTGCATCGTTTGATGGTGACATTGATGGTGGGGCAAGAATCGATGAATGTATGGATATTGTTTCCGAAAGTGGATTATTCTCTGGATCTTGTTACTTTGACGACAGAACGTATGGTGCCGGTGGTATAGCACAAGTGGTAACACAAGCAACAGCAGCAGAGTTCAATGCATGGAACGTGGATGGAACTGTGACGATCATTATGGATGCCGACGATAGAGTTGATAGTGGTGGTGGCTCAGGCGAGGCAACTGTCGAATTGCAATATTGCGCAATACCACCCCCGCCAACATGTGGCACTGATTTCATCAATTCTGCTTGTCCAAATCAGCCTGCGACTCCTGTGGACTGTACTGCCTTTCCTGGTACAATTTCAACGACGTCTCCAATTCTCACTACTACTTTGACTTCCACTGGCCAGGCACTCTCATTTGCATTTGCTGGATTGCCCGACTCTCAGTCTCCTGTCAATGTCATTGCGTCCTTCGATGGTGGCACGGATCAGAATGTTGGTTTCGATGAATGTATTGACATTGTGGGTGAAGATGGCGTCTTCTTTTCTGGATCTTGTTACTTTGACGACAACACATCTGGTGCTGGCGGCGGCATACCGCAAGTTGTGACACAAGCGACGGCAGCAGAGTTCAACTCTTGGAATGCGGATGGAATTGTGACGCTTATTTTGGATGCCGATAGTGGTGTTGTTCCTGGAGGTGCTGCTGGCTCAGACGATGGAACCGTCCAATTGCAATATTGTTTCACACCACCCCCAGGAACATGTGGCACTAGTTTCATCAACTCTGCTTGTCCAAATCAACCAGCGACTTCAGTGGATTGTACTGCCTTTGCTGGCACAACCTCGGTGACGTCTCCAATCATTACCACTACATTGACTTCCACTGGGCAGCCACTCTCGTTTGCATTTACGGGACTTGCCAACTCTGTGTCTCCCGTCAATATACTTGCATCGTTTGATGGTGACATTGATAGTGGTGCAAGAATCGATGAATGCATGGATATTATTTCCGAAAGTGGATTATTCTCTGGATCTTGTTACTTTGACGACAGAACGTATGGTGCCGGTGGTATAGCGCAAGTTGTCACACAAGCAACAGCAGCAGAGTTCAACGCCTGGAATGTGGATGGAACAGTGACGCTAACTTTGGATGCCGACATTGGTGTCAACCGTGGTGGCGCTGGAGGCTCGGAAGATGCAACAATCCAATTGCAATATTGTGCCTAATTAATTTATTTATAGCATCTGATTGATAGGTCATGATATGGTCAAAGGTCGTATAGGCAGTAAATTAATGTCCGTTCATATAGTACTAGCTTATGCTTTCAAGCTACTACACCTTGCCATCATCTTCTCTATTAGTTACAACAATTGCAGTTTCTCCTTTTTTCTTTTGTCGTCTATGGCTATGGGTGAATCGAGGCTATGGCTCTAGCACTCAGTCTTTGGTTGCCATCCAACCTGATGATGCAGGAATGATTGCGACGAATGAATTTCATTAGCAGTGTCTCCAGTCTAGCTGCACCATTGAGGGTGGATCGCATCTCTCTTTTTCTTGATGAGTTGATTTGTCAAATATAAGGTATTACGGAATGAATCGAACCGCTGCGCCTACCAGGCTACCTTAATCTGACTAGTCCAATCTAAGTATCTAATACACGTTCCGACATCCTCCCTTATTCGATACTTAGATATAGCCCTTCAGCCTTGCACACCCATTTCTGGTGTCAAAACCCTCACACGTCCATCTTTATCCTGTCGATGCAGACAGTCGGAATCAAGGACTCGATCCCATAACCTTACCATGTCAAATATAAGGTATTACGGAATCGAACCGCTGCGCCTACCAGGCTACCTTAATCTGACTAGTCCAATCTAAGTATCTAATACACGTTCCAACATTGATTCCAAGAAGAACATGACTATTATTCCCCCGCCATGGGTTTATATTCATTCCTCCTGAGGATTTGCCCACCAGGTCAGATAGTTCCGAGGAAAAAAACAATGATTTACATTATTGGAGTTCAAGATGACGAATCATATCATCGAATTCACAAATGCAATTTTAAGTCATGGATCTCCTGTGTTGGCTGGATAGTCCTATCTCTATCTATGGAGTGCTAATCAATCCACGGCAAGTATCACTCAGTCACAATGGATCAATTCAATGCTGTAGCTATGCAGTTCCGGGAACTTATACCGATACTCTAGTGATGATGAATGAAATTATATTACGAGGATATAGGAATATTGTTTAGTCGGAGCAAACAAAATGCTGCGCGACACCACGATATTGCGCGATATTTTTACGTGGAGTAACACCACGTGGAGGTCCAACACCCCACAAAAATCCGAAACATCCATTGCATCTATTGCAATACTGTATCGTAGAAAACTACAGCCAAAAGACCAATAAATAGTAACAATAATACGAATACTATAGTGTAGTGTTAGATAGGTCCACTAAGTCCATCAATGTGCTCCATGTTAGCCTTCTTGGCCGCCAAAGATGGCAAACTCCAATTGACACTTGCCTTGGAGGCGAGGCTCTTGCAGTCTTTGTACCCCAATCCAAAGTTGCTATCGTTGTGCCAATCCACAGAGCACGATTTACCTTTGTGCATTCCCTTAGCTGGGAAGTTGTGTAAGGGTACTTTGCAAATGGTGCATCGTTGGTATGCCTTCTCGCCGCACCAAGCACACTTTGAACCTGAAGAGATCGAAGCTCCTTTCTCAAGGAATGATGCTAGGTGCTTTGACAGCTCAGTATGGTTGAAGGCACCACATAATCGTTTACTCTTCCTGGCATTGTCCAACTCGTCAATCAAAACACAGTGCTGACCACCAGTACTGACGGACACCGCAGTCTGGCGAGATCTCTTGCTTGGGACCACATGAGTCTTGGAGCGTGCCTTCTTTGAAAGAACTGTAACAGAGCGAAATCCTGAATCACCTGGGTACATATTGAACCTTGGCTTGTATTGGAGCATCTGGGTTGACAGTCGGTCGCGGAACTGATGGAAAGTCATCGGCTTCACTAACTTCCAACTGGCATCCAAGCTCCCACTGCTGGCTTCCAGGTAAAAAGAATACGCAGTGACAATAGCAAGCCTAAGACCATGAAGCATTGCAGAATGCCAGTACTTCCTAGAACGGTATTGGATTTGAGTGCCGGCCATCATAGCATCATCAGTGTCGATCCTACCGTAGTGGCTGAGGTAGAGGGTCCTTGCGGGATTATTCTCGACACCCCAGATTCTCTTTTCTTTGCCAACACCTCTCTCTTTCTTGACAACATAGAGTCGACTAGAGTTAATAGCATTAACAGTGGAGAAGTTGGTAGAGCCAGTGCTCTGGAAGGAGACATGAGTTCGCGTGTAGGCTTTCTTCTCGCCGTCTTGGGGAAACTTCTTGACACAGGTGATAGGATGGATGAATCTTGCGGCCTTGCTGCGGTCATCAACAGGACCTTTCTCATGATGAAAGTGATGCTTGGGCACACCTGCGGGCAGCCGGTCTCTGCGACTTGTCATGGTGGCCGCGAATCCGAGTTCGCCAAGATGGTCAAGGGTCTCATCACCAGAAAAGAAGTTGTCAAGAGTGATGTGGGGCTTCTCTCTGAAGATTTTACCATCGCCATCTTCCTTGGAGATCAAGCAGTCCAGCTTCTCAACAATCATTCGGACCTCATTAGGTCCCTGTTTAGCAAAGCCTGTCGGACGGTGGTGTAGAGTGTGACGATGGACGTATGCCCGAGGACGACAGCAAGAAGCATCAGAGGTCATTACGACTTGACCACCTTTGGTAACTCCAGGCTTCCCTATGAAGCGTCAGCAACAAAGAACAGTTAGACATAATTAATTGTGACATCACGCACGATCGCGACTTTTAAGAACCACCTCCTGACACTTAAAGACAAGGGACTTACCTACGATTCGTCGGACAACGCCGCCTTCTCCGTACCCCATGAACTTCCATGTCATCTCGTCACAGCACAAGTCACTCTCCGCATACAGTGTCAAGCTGTTACAGTTAGCAACGACCACTCTGTATGCCATGTCATACTTATGTGCAGGATCGTACAGTTCATGGCCACGAGGTTTGCTTTTGGCATTATCATTGAGCTTGATGATCCTTTTGATTTGTCGAAATCGATAGAGGCTGAGTGCATTCACAACGTCTTTGTCATAGCATGAACAAGTTGGGTCCCATAGACGGTAGACGGCACCCCTGCTGCCTCCATGAACGCCATCTCGAACCATGATGCCATGGAACTTCAGAAGTTCTGCCGCCAGGACAGGCTTGATAGTCTGGCCATACGAACCACCGTATTCCAAGGAGGCCGCATATTTCCTGGTGAAGGTTTCGACATCAAAGTAATACGCTTCGCGTGGATCCTTTGCAACACCAGACCTCTTTGGGTCACAGATAGGATACAACAGTTGGTAGAAGAACAGGGCATCGTCGCCATCCATTCGCGACTTGGTGAGGCCAAGCAACTTGAGTGTGGCAACACTCAAGCAGCCTTTGCGACTTTCCGGAAACATATTTTCCGTTGTTGCACCGCTTCTGAAGGATCCTGGTCCATCATCTCCTTCATCATCAGGAGTCCAAGGACCATAGTGAAACTCCCATCCATTGATGGTTCGCTTACCCCCTTCCGAAACAGGAACGGGTTGGGCACCAGAAGGTAGGCTGTGGCCTTTGTATTGCCTGCTCTTGTTCAATTTACCGCGGTAGATATACTCATTCCAGTTTCCTGGATTGTCGACTTCATCAAAAGGGACTTCACCATTGGCGACTCTTGGTTCAGTCGGTTGCCAGTTGGGAGGGATGCCAGGGATCTTAACCTCGGGTGTTAGATCAACCATCTCCATCAGAACGTCCTTCTTGGACACACAGTGGTCTTCTTCTTCACCTTCAGGTTTGCCAGCGATGCACAACTGATACATCCTATCCTCTATTGCTGATTCCGCCTCGATCGTGAGGACCTGGAAGTCTTCTTCCCCGCCCATGCTGTTGTCGTCAGGTTCTAGTCGGTCCAATGCATCGTCATTGTCAGAGTCTACCAACTCTTCCAATGTATCTGTTGGGGCATTGGATCGTTGACAGATTTCATTGCTGTCGTCCTCGTCCTCCTCGGAAGGAGGAAGAGTGATGGAGGAGATTTCAGAGAGAAGAGTTAGCCCCGCTGGCGAGGTATTGGTTCTCCGAACAACCACTGGAGGGCTCGAAACAAAGCCCAACGGAAGGGTAACATGGCCTTCTTCGTTTCCGTTGGGGTTGGTAGTTACAGTATGATTGGCAGTTCTTGTAGGCATGATACTTGTCGATGAATATTTCGATAGCCAAAATATGTGAAAAAGTCGAGGAGTTACACATTTTGGGCCAATTGTTTACGCATTATATTGGGTCCGTGTATAAACACTACTGTAAATATTGAACCAAAAGTCTTCTACTGCTTTCCCTACCACCGTTCGAAAGCTTGAAGGATGGCGCACAATTTAGTAGTGAACAACACATTACTAGATGACTCATCTGAGGGAGATTAGAGGGGTTGAATTTGCAAACGTGGTGTTACGCACGCTGCGCGTACGGGATTGCTCCGACTAAACGATACTGTATTTTATACGTACGGTATTAATACCTGGTAGAGATACCCAGCACCTCCATCTTCCATCCAATCAGTGTACATACGGTAAGAACCCGCACACCCAAAGAAGCATACCAGTATTAGCATGGACCCAAATGACAATAGCAACAACAACAACAATAACAGCGACAACATTGCACAAGAAGAGCCATCTTCCACACCCTACCAATTGGAACATGATCATGACGACGACGAAACAAAGACAACAAGACGACCCTCCACTCTTTCTTCCTTTCTAGCACTTATCGTAGGCGGTTCTTTGATGATTGCCATGGTCTTTTGGTTTACTTTGGCTTTTTAAATCGCTTCCATATTGTTATCGGTCTAATCGTCCTTTGGCAAGAACAAGAAATACTGCTACTACCATTGACTCCTAGAGTCTACCACCACAATCATCATTATAATCATCATAGGCCCATGCCAACAAAACAAAAGTTATTCAAGAACCTTAAGAGTATGCTACTACGAAAGACGACGACATGGCTGGTGATGTATAGCCTTCGGTCCCATCACTCGAGATTGGGCTTTTGGCAGTGGCAGTGGCAGTGGAGCCGCGGTTAAAATTTGATGGATCACGCCACAACAACCACGACTGACTCTTGCATTCACTTCCCAGGCCAAGTTCGACAACTGGCAATTGTATGTAGGACACTGGGGTCATCGGCAAAGGGCAGCAGCAATTCCAGAGCTGGTCGAGCAGGTCTCTCATTGTTCCATTATCCACCCAACTCGGAAGACAAACAACATCATTGCCAGAGTTCGAATGAGGATTCCAGAGAAACCTGCTGCTGGTAGGAGGTCCGGAAAATTTGTACGCAAAAAAGGCCCGTGCACGAACAGTACCAATCCAAATTCAGCGACCAACCTACCTACTTTGAGAGGCAGTGTCTCTGTCCAACGAGCTCGTCGCTGATTGTTTCTCCTTATTTGACACCGCCACGATAAACTTGACAACATATACGTTGATACGAAAGATCGGATAAGCCGCTTCGCGTGGACAAAATCAAGCAACTCCAATGCGTAACTACAATTCGTTTGATAACACCTCCGCGGGAGGACGGCAGAAATAACGACAGGAGTGACTTTGTAGTATGGCACCATTTCTTTCCTTTTCGTTCTCTGTATAGCTCTTATTCTCCTCAGCAGAACTAAAGTAAGGGAACCACTTTTCCTCCCTACGCAATGTGAGCTCTGACTGGATTCCTCGGGGAAGTGGTAGTAGTGGTAGTACAGTCGTGTTCTTTATCATTTGTATTTCTCTGTCCTTGTTGCTTCTCATTCTGAACGGACGGTTGTGGACACTACCAAATTCCACGAAAAGCGATCACTAAACCTAGATGGAAGGTCTTATCTTCTTGACTTGTCTACAGTTGTCTCAAGAAGAAGATACTTCGCGCAACGCCAGGATCTGCATCTTTCAAACCAAAGGAACGTCCATGAAGGGAATGAATTAACTAAATCAGTCAGGATGGAAACAACAGCTTTGCTGGGGCTCGAAACCGGTTTCGAAATATGCTTGAGGATGCATATACACATTGTGGCATGGAAGGGTCTTTTTGCGGGCCGTCATTGTCCAAAGTAAAAAGTACAGTACTGTAGGAGGAGTTGCCAAAATGTGGCACTGCCAGCACCATGTGCACGCCACTCTGTAGCAATCGTGTTTGATGTCGCATGATAGACGCCGTCTGTACTTCGTTCCTCAGTCACATCTGTTATGCTCCATATAACACTCTGAAATCAAACGCAGGGTTTTTTCTCGCGGACTGCTCAACATTTTGTTGATGGTCCAAGTGGTCGACAAGACAGGCTTTTTGGAAAAGCTCCGTACCTGGTACCGCATGCCTCAAGCACACCCATACTACGGTCTCCCGTTCTGCCCAGGATGGTCTGCGTTCCACAAATCACAATCACAAACACTACGACGATGGCTTCTTCACGGGGAGAAAAGGAAAAGACTTTACTAGCTGAATTTAAAATGAATGAAACTGTATATTTGTATTGTTGCCATTCATTGGTGTCTTCTTTAGTTTGATTGATGAAATTCCGTCGTCACGCCAGTCAAGTCGCAATTTCTCCGCACCTACTTCTCCAATTGAATGTCTGAAAACTGTAATTATTAGCTGAATAAATATTGAAGGAAATCGTGTATTGCCGTAATGTCCGATCCATTTCTGACTTCTTTGGGTTGATTGGTGTTTAAATTCGTTTGAATTTCTGTCGTCAATCAGTGAGCCACCATTTCTCGCTACCCAGACTCGCAATTGAATATATGAAAATTCCCAATATCAGCTATATACTCATAGAATATGCTTGTTGTAGGATGGATGTTATTGATATTGTTGTCATTGCTGCACGAAAGTAAAATAAATTGTGTCGAGCGGGAGACAGTGCGGGCGAGCGGTAGGAACAGTGAAGTGCGGGAGCTTCCAGTTGGACTTTCTAAAAAATGTTGAGCAGTCTGCGAGAAAAAACCCTGCGTTTGATTTCAGAGTGTTTTGAGACACCACAAATTTCTAAATAAAAAACTAAAGAAGTCTCAAAACACGATTGCTACAGAGTGATGTGCACGCGCGTTCAAGCCAGCATGTCGTCACTCACTCTTGTGAGAAGGAACGATTTTGGCCGATAAGTCATTATTTCCCGAAGTACAAAGCGTACCTTTATTAGTAGTGTTCCTCCATCATCCATCCATCCATCCATCCATCCATCCATCCATCCATCCATCCATCCATCCATCCATCCATCAATATCTCACCACAGAGGAATACGGCAAAACACACACAAATACTCTCGACCAAGCATACCAGTAACAATTGACAGTTGACAGTTGACAGTAAAATACCATGAACCATAACAACAACAGCAATAACAACAACATGGCACAACTGAATGAGCCTTCTACCCCCTACAACTTGGAAAATAACGATGACAATGCGAATGCTACTACGAATAATAATCATGATTATGACTCATCACAGATGCAGAGTGAGAGTCCACCACCACCACCCCCTGGAGCATCCAAACTTCAATCCTTTCTAATACTTGTGGCAGGCTTGGCGTTGATTGTAACTTTCGTCTTGGGGTTCACCTTGGGATGGCACACGGCCGTGGTGATCTTGGCCATGTGTTTTTGGGGTGTCGTTCTGTATCATTTGATGTTTACGAGTGAGGTCATTAGTCCCTTTTGGATTTACAATCAAGTGGCCAAGGCCAAACTCAAAGTCATTCAAGAACCTCGGATGTATACTCAAGACGACATGGCCCTGGAGGGTGGTATTGGTGGTGGTATTGAGAATATGGGAGCACCTACTACCCGTGATTGGACTTCTGCCAGTGGAGCCTATATAGAGTTGGACGGTGGCATTGGCCGAGAAATCCAATTGGTCTTTGCCTCGCCAGTGACAAGACCTGCTGGTCGGTTCTGGAGCAAGCCCAAATCCTTAATGTGGACGATTTCAGGATATGGCAGTGATTTTGTGGTGAAAGAAGGTTTGATCAGTGAGACGGGCAAATCGTATTGGGTCGAGAAACACGATTTTGCCGAGAATGGTAGTCGAATTTTGAGGCTCGTGCAAGGTACTTGGGACTATCAGACCCACGAATTTGTGGGCGATTACATAGATTCCGATGGTTCCATGGGATCGTATCCCACATTGGCGAAACAACAAAAGTAGTAATTGTGACAATGCCTCGCTGAATGAATGATTGAATGATTGACTTAGTGATTGAATCAATCAGGATCGGAAGAAGCGTGTACAGTACAAGTAGCTGTCTCTAAAAGCCACGATGCGGTGTGGAACTACATGGTGTCATTGAATACCTTTGTTATACATATTATGTTATAAAATTGTTTCCCAGGGTTTTTTTTTAAAATTTTAATGTGAAGAAGAAGAAGAGAAAAAAAACTGAGTGAGTGCTGGTGCTGGACCAACAACCAAGCATCACCAAATGTAACACTATTTTAAAATAGCAATTGTTCTCGGAGCAAAGCTTCCACATGTTGTTTCTATTGATGAAAATAATAATAATAGTAATAATAATAATAATAATAATGGACAATATAAAAATATTATTGTACAACTCAATACCCTTTTACCATCCCCTTGCCTCCCTTCTCTCCACTCTCACTCCACTCACTCACTCACTCACTCCCTTTATCAACGTAATTTTTCGTTTTCATACCAAACTTCTTTGAGAATTGGTGGTAGTAGTAGTAGTGGTGGTACTGCTGCCCGCTTCAAATTCTGTACTACCGCTAGTACTACTACTACTTGTTGCCACATTCGTTGCTGCTGCTGCTGCTGCTCTGGCATTGGGATTGTAAGTGGACCATTCACTTTCGAGCATATCCTTCTTGACGGCCAATTTGGAATTGCGTTCAAAGGTTTCTTCCGATGCCAAGTATTGGGACTTGGCCAAATATTGATGATTTTGAGTTTCGGTAGTGGCCATGCTCTTGGCGTCATCTTCTTCGTCGTCGTCCATATCCAAACCTTCTAATTGGGCCGTTTCAAAACTCATATTCTTGAGGGCTTGTGATTCTTCGTGTTGTCGTTTGCTGCGTTGTTTTTGAGCAAGGAACAGGAGACCAAATCCAAGTAAAATGGCAATGGTTCCCCCAACAATCTTGATCATCCATTCGGTCAAGTCGTCATGTTCGTCATTGTCATTACCATCTACTTGTTCTTCAAGATTGTTACTCTTGTTGTTAGACACTGTTGCTGGACTATTGGATGGTGACACCGTAGAAATCAATCCTGGAGGATTGTTTTGTGGTGGGTCATCGTTGTTGATGTTGTTGTTGTTGTTGTTGCTGTCGTCTGGTACCAGTGGCTGCTGTGGCTCGAAAAATCCCACAAAGGTGGCCCGTTCAATGGAGCCAAAAAAGATGGAATCCTTGGGTAGATTATTGACCAACTTGAAATTGATTCCATCTTCAATCACTTCTGGTACCTTTTCCAAGGGTGGTGTGCGTTTGAAATTGACCAGGCCGCCCTTGACAATGATCAAGGTTGTATTATTAGTATTGGTATTGGTATTGGTATTGGTATTCTCCCCGTCGTTCTCATATTGCTGCTCTTCCACGTACGCTTGTGCCAAGAGCAAACGATTCGATTGTGTCTGGACTCCCCCCAAGGAATCAAACAAGGTCTCCTCCAAGATTGGACTTAATACAGAAGCGACCATGTCGTCCGTAATCTCATGAGGGGTTGGCTCCAATAGAATGCTAAATTTGGGAATCTTGTATTCCAATCCTTGGTCATTTTCGTCTTGGGAGACTCGCAGGGATCGTTGTAATTGTTGCAGATGTTGTTGTGCATTATGTATACTAACATGAGTTGCCGTCTCTGCCTGGCACACCAATTGTTGGCATTGCCAGCAGAGTGGAAGCATGAACAGCCAAAGGTAGGCCATTCCATTTGATGATTTACTACTCAAATTGCTGTACCGGTACAACATGTTTGCACAATTTGTTGGGTAGGAAACAAGAGGCAATGCTTTTTTGTTCTTCTTCTTCGTCGCTTGGGCGCACCTTTGTTTTTGGCGCTCAGTTTTGGGAGGCCGCGAGCAAGTCCCGCAACGGAAAATCCATTTTGGTCGAACGCCAACAAGGTTGCGGGTGTGAATTATGTCGCACTACGACACAGATTCTGGTGTTCAAACGACAAACCGAAAATATTTGAAAAATCAACGCACCTTTCGGTGGAAAAAAAAAATATACCAACGAAGATTTTTAGGTGGTCATGCCGAGCACATTGAAAACCATCCATCAATCCATCATCCATCATCCATCAATCCATCATTCCATCATTCCATCATTCCATCATCCATCAATCCATAGATCATCATTCCTCCAACAGACACACCCCGAAAGACGAGAAACACGACACTAGACTATTCGGTATTTACTGATTGATTGATTGAATTCCAGCTCTCTTCGCGACACAATACCACATGTAGAAAGAGAGACAAACAGACAATATAATTAAAATGACAACTCTTGGGGAAACCAACAACAACAGCAATGGTAGTACTAGCATTGCTGTTTCCAACGACGCCCGTTTGGAACCACCACAAATAAAGCATTATTTTCCTACCTACATATCGGAAACACAAACGATGGAATCTTGTTCTTCTTGGTCTACCAATGTCACCAACGGTACCATCAATGCTTCGTCGCTAGACACGACAACATCCACCATTGCATCATCTTCCCAGGACACTACCACCAACTCGCTGTTACTTTCAAAAACAGCAACAACAACA